CTTGAACCTATATGGGATACGATATGCATAGTAAAGACTAACTTTATTTATTCATATTGGATTCAATTTCAAGGGAAGGTTGACTGCACAGCATCTAAATGGCAATATAAGCTCGCTGTTTAAATTCTTGTAGTCAAAGTCGAATTCTCTGGAATTTGTTTGGAAAAGGCTGCATTTGCTTCGGACGATTTAGATATTGAATCAATCAAGTTTACGCATTCATCGGGATTGCTGTTGTCGACATCTGTATTGCATTTGAAGATGTAATCTTTTCTTTTATTACCGTATATATACAATAATATAATAATAAATACATTATCATTTGTTATGCTATTTATTACAATAACTTTATGTAAGCAGACCTCACATATACCATGTTGTCACACGCCTCTATAGTCACAGACGACATGACTATGTAGGTTCGACTGTATTGTAACTTGGAGAAATCTTTCCAATCAATTAGCGAATATTAGTCAAGAGAATACATAACATTATATAAAAAATTTCCATAATTATGGCGGATACACAACATTTCCCGCACGTGCCGCTCTGCATATTTCATCTGACAGTTCACGTGGTAAGTATTTATGTGCTAGTGATTCCAATGTCCGAGTTGCTGTAATGACGTTTTGTCTGTATTTATAAAATCATTGATCTGTCAATACAAAAGCGGACTAAGCAACATCTGGGAGAGAAGTTTCTTTACAGTATGTTACCTTTTCATAAGTGTTACTACATCTTCCTCAGTGATCGTTCGTCGTCCATCTGAGATGCGCACCAGACTGTCAGCTGCTTGTTCGAAGAATTTATCTGAACTGTAGAGAAGTAAAACGGTAAATCACGTGAACATTTAAAGATGGATACTAAAATACTATGTAGTACTAACGCTTCGTAGACTGAATTCCAAGCCTCTCTAGACACTTTGTGATGGGAAAATCGCGTAAACAGACTTCTGATTAATGTTTTAGGGAGACTAGGCACCGGTATTCCATGTGCTGACAATCTGTAAAGTCAAATAAATAGTCAATGATCAGCGTTTCATATAAAGTTCCAATTAAAGGTTTAAAATTCAAATCTACCTTGGCGGTGGTTTGTTTCTTACAGCCTTACTTTTCCTTGATCTAATTATAAAATTCATAGTATTACTATAACACCAAATAAATTATAAACGGGTTTATCTTTGAATTTGAACCCGAACCTTTGTTTCTTTTCAACTTGCTCGCTATCATCATACTCCTCCATAAAATCGCTCGCCCCAGCAGCAGTAAGACATTTATCATCCTCCATAAGATCGCTAGCTCCAGCAGCCGCAAAGCATTTATCATTCTCCGTAAAATCGCTCGCCCCAGTAGCAGCAAGACTTTTATCACCCTCTATAAAATCGCTCGTCCCAACAGCAGCAAGACATTTATCATCCCCCATAAAATTGCTCGCAGTAAGTACGTTATCATCCTCTATTAAATCGCTCGCCCCAGCAGCAGCAAGCCATTTATCATCCTCTATTAAATCGCTCGCCCCAGCAGCAGCAAACCATTTATCATCCTCCGTAAAATCGCTCGCCCCAGCAGCAGCAATATAGTTATCATCCTTTATAAAATCGCTCGTCCGAACAGCAGCAAAACAGTTATCGTCCTCTATAAAATCGCTCGTCCCAACAGCAGCACAGTTATCATCTTTTACAAAACCGCTCGTTCCAACAGCAGCAAGACAGTCATCATCCTCTATTAAATCGCTCGCCCCAGCAGCAGTAAAACAGTCATCATCCTCTATTGAATCGTAAAATGAGTATAGACAGATATTTACAGTTTCTACATCGATGATCTTCTTTCCAACCAAAAACTCGT